ACATGGTTGGGTTTTTCCGTGTCAATGATGTCCAGAATTGATCGAACACCGTTGTTTGTTCTCAAATCAAAGTGATTCCATATCGACAGGCGGCGAGCTGACTTTTCCTGCCTAGTCATAGTTTGCATCGTTTTGGTGAGGATGCTGTCTTGGCTGCAGGCGACCTCCAAAAGCACTACCCTATCCTGAAGAACCAACGATTGGAAGGCCTCCGTGGCCATACGTTCAGTATCTTGCTTCAAAGTCCTAGAAGCACTGGGGTTGACCTTTTTCATTCCCGAGGGATTCCCTTCCAATCCAAACGTCGACTGTCCGAGTCGATCTGACAGAGAATCTAAGGCTCTAAGGGCAATGCTAAGGTCCCACGCTCATTGCGGCAGCAGCTCGAAACTGCTGGCCTCCGAAGGCGCTGCTTGGCTCTTCGCCTTGGCCTCCTTGCCGGGCCGTTCCATCTTGAAGTCCTGGACCTCCTCCTTCAGGGTGATCACGGATTGGGCCAGCATTTGGAGAAGCTCCTTGGTCTCCGGATCAGAGTCTGGCTTCTTGTCTTGGATGTCGGGGATGTGTCCAAGATCCCTGTCATGGGCGTGCTGGTCATCGGCTTGTAGCCCTGTGGTGGCTCGGATGAGGCTGCTGCCCTTGCATGTGTTGCCAATCTTTGGCTGCGGAGACAGCAGTCGTTGCCCTCGCTCGCCGTGGTGGTCACCCATGTGCAGTAACCCGCGTGCTTCTGGTAGACTTCCTCGTAGCTCAGGCTGGAGTGTTTCCCGAAGCCCACCGGGTCTTGGGGAGAGGCCCCGGGCTGGTCGTACACGGCCTGGACCCCCTTGGCCATCATGATCTTGATGGTTTCCGTCCCCGTCAGGGGAACATGGAGGACCTCCTGCATGTGCTTGACAAGGGCTTCCTTCTTGCGACCTGCCGTGTTCAGGTCCACCATCATCTGCCGCAAGGGTGTTTTGTTCTTGCGCTGAGACACCTCGGGGATGCCCTTCTCCTTCCGGAGTTCCTCAATTCGGCACTCGATCTCGGTGACCGTCCAAGCCTTGGGAGGTGTCTCTCCCAGAGCTTCCATGGCACTGATGAGGTCTGCCTTCTTCATAGCAGGCATGGTGACTCTCAGGTTGAGGCGGAGGCGGATCACGACAAAGTGGAACCTTTCGAGCTGTTGTAGCTGCCGTATGTGTATGTGTGGTTGTCATGTCTGATGATGTTGAGTGTGATTGCCGGTGGGTGGAATGTGTGTCAATTGGTGGTCTATGAGTTTCCTCAGTTTCAAAAGAACACACACCATGAAGCGAATACGAATGACAAGTACTATCACTACGTTCATGCTGTCACGTCTCGACCGACCGCTCACTTCTGCACTACACTGCACCTCCCTTTCTTCGGCAGAAGGCGAATCAGGGAGGAGTTGTCCCTAAATGAAGTCCTTCAAACTGGGCACAGACGACTTCGCTTGAAAAGAGTGTCCATACCAATCCTGAGTGAGCGGGAGAAGCTGATGGCCCGAGCTAGACTGCTCGAGCTGGATGATGCGATCCTTGCTCAAGTTTTCAAAATCTGTCACAGCTCCTACGGATCGCAACGTTTCTATGGAGAAAAGGATCGGGCCTGTGCCCTGATCCAAAGTATGGATCTTCAACTCGCCGGGTCGTCCCTCGGCCTGGATGCGCATCCATGCCGTCGACAAACACTGGTTGCGGGACGAATTCCCAAACCCAAACGTGGGCCTTTGCTCGGTGTCCAGCTTCGAGAGGCCGTCGGAGCCATTGAGGTCCTGGTTCAGGGACATCAGAGCCTCGACCGCCTTGACGGACCCCAATGTCCGCGTGGCGCCCCCGTCGATGACTGCTTTTCCCTGTTCCATGGCTTGGCTCGTTGAGATCTTGTTGAGCCCGGAGCCATCAGCTGCAAAGACCTGGTCTGTGAGGCAGATGAACGGGGCCTCCTGCTGGGGCGACTGGTCCACATTGAAACTCTTCGATTTCTTCGGACAGTCCTCGGTGCGATGAGCTCCACCGCAACCCAGACTCTTGGCAGAGTGGCCTGCATGGCCAGAAATGCCCTCCTTCTCCATAAAGGCATTTGGGTTGGGTCGTTGAGGTGTACCATAGTACTGCCGGCTGAGCTTGACGAAATGCTGCTTGGCACGAGCTTCTCGGAGCGTGCGGCGGCCACGTTCCAGCATGGCCAGGGCCTCTTGAGCTTCTTCTTCAGCCTCGTTCATCAAGGCTTGACCTTCAAAGTTGAGGCCTGAGGTGGACAGGAAGCTGAGGTCAGGGCTCTCCATGTCGAAGGGGTCGCCGCCAAGGTCGTCCACGGTCCATGCTGATGCTCGTCCATTTTGGTCATGACGACGAAGGTCGTCGTCATTCCACTGGTTCCGGAGTTCTTGTGCGACTTTGGCAGAACTGAAATGCCCCTTCAGGCATGCCAAAATCATGTTCTTTTCGCTCGTCTCCAGATTTGCATCCTGGAGAAGGAACCAGCCTTGTACGAAGTCTGGCAAGAGTTGCGCTCGTGCCACCTGTGGGAGTTCCCACAGAGGCCCTGTGGCCAATGAGATTCCCAACCCCAGGGACGCCATTGCTGTTGGTGCCATTGTGCCCATGGATCTGCCTGGCCCGATGACGGAGTGTGTTGCCCTGGATCTCCGGCTGCATGTTCTTGAGGGCCTGAGCTAGCTGATTCAGTATGTGCTTCTTGGGCGTCATGAAACTCATGGGCTTCAGGGATCTCCTCCAATCGAGAGGATGGGGCTGCCACCGACGATGAACGATTGGTCGGTTCATAGTATTCCCCAGCTCGCTGCAGAGTCTGCTCGGTACGGCTGTAAAGTTCAGCCTTCCGGGTGATGTAGTCGTTCATCGATTCGTTCTTCTTGCGACAACTCTGCTTGAAGTACTTGGACATATACTCGCTCATCTCGGACAGCTGTGGCAAGCCAAGATGCTTGCGAAGGTGGAGTAACAAGGTCTGCACTCCTCCATTGTGCGATACCCAGCCAGGTCGCTGCGAGAGCACAAAGCGTCGAGCAGTGCCTGACAACTCATTCAATAGCTTGGGGCCGCGCAGATACCGCTTGTGATACGGTATCGTCTGTTCCCAGTGTTCAGCCAACTCGCTGTACTCCTGGAAGGTGCTTGCTGACCCATCCCATTGAGGAACTCCTTCTCGATTTCTTTCAACCACCGCCATGGCTCAATTGGGCTACTTGCACCTAGAGCTAGGATCGAAAATCTCTTCGGATGCCACTCAGGGCTCCGCTACCATGTAAGCGGTGGAACAGCTTACAGGTGCTCAAAACACAAGAGCTTCTAGCTAACACGGGCACGTTGGGATGGCACGGCAATCCTTCAACGCCCACTTGTTTTCTCGCTTTGACCCATTCTTGACTCAGTCGGTTCACGGACTCTGGCACACAGTGTTCACACTGCACAGTGTACATATATATATATATGTGTGTGTACACGTCCACCCTCCTCCTACCCTTGCTCTCCATAGAGATCAGAAAACTGCACCAAGGGTGTGAACCGGCACTGTAGTCCACTGGCGGTGGAAAAAGTGCCAGTAGAATAGATCCTAAATCCCATTGCCCCCTCTTTGACGGCAATCATACTTGCCGGTGAGGATGAAGGGAAGAATGCCCTGGGCTTCCTGGATGACGGAATGCAGGTCGAGGCCAACAACTAACGACCGGTGAACGCGCAGTCAAACTGATGGGGTTTGCATTGGACGTGCATCTGCACTGACCTGTCAGAGTGCTTCTTGCTTTTGCACTGCGAACGGTTTCTGTTTTTTCAGTTGCTTTCAATTGCTGTTTCTCAGGTGATGACCCACTGGTTCGAGTGCAGTTGGGAAGGAGCAGGACCATCCAAGCGCGGTTTCATTCAGGCGCACCTTCTATTCCATGGTATCCCAAGTGTGGTCGCATGGTTTTGGGAATGTTCGTGGGGGATGTTGGACCATCGTGCAGCCAAGAGTCAAGACTTGTGAGAATGGTTCTTCCGTTTCCTGATGGAGATTTGTGGTTTTCTGCTTTTGACGTGAGTCACTCTTGGTGGTTTGTGCATGCCTGCGTTTGTTGTGTCCGAGCCGATCTTCGGATCGTGTCCCTTTTGCCGCCGAGCACGTGGGGTTGGGGGCAGGCTCAATGCATCCCGGAGAACGACGTTAGCCTAAAGGGCCCCACGGAGGAGTGCCGTCGTTGTGCTTGGTGCATCATCTTGACAGAATATGGACCCAGAAAGTGCCTCCGCAAAGTCTGCCCCCTGCGTGGCTGTTCTACATGGTTTGACTTTCTTTGTGCAGGACTGTTCTGCTGCTTTGACCATGCTCCAGGAGAAGTTGGGCATTGAAATTGAAACCTTTTCATTAGGCCGGGCCTCGGAAGCCTCCTGGTATTTGTGAACTCCTTACCTCTGGCTGTCAAATTGGCCCTTGTGAGGGTCGAGGAGCAACTTCGACCCAGTACGTTTGAAAACATGGAAACTTGACGCCGGTGTTCCAGAAGCGTTCAGCCAGACCCTCTGTGAAGGTGGTGGAAAGCCCAAAGCAAAAGCGAAGGTGAAGGGTTTGGCTAGGGGTTGTTCAGTTGTCATGCGGAGAGGAGTCGGTGTTCTTTTGAGGTATATATACCTCGCAAGCAGTTTTGGCAGCTTGGGTCCCAAGGCCAAAGCGAAAGGAAAAGCCAAAGCAAAAGCGTAGGCTCCTTGCCAGGAGAAAAGGTGCTGTAGTCCTTGGAGTGGTGAGGGGTGTGACTGTTCGTGGCTCGCTGATGGTGCGAATCGATCATCGCACGACGTCATTTTGCACGCTGACCATTTTTGGCTTGTCACTCAAGGCTCAAGCCGAAGGCTTTAGTTCAGCTGGCTGCCGGCTACAGCCACAGCTGATGTTTTGAAAGATGTGCAGAAGCACATTTTGTTGGTTGGAAGGTTCGCGTGCGGACCTGCCATCGAGGGCACCGTCTTGGTGCTGGTCGGGGGGCTGTGCCCATGTCGACGAATCGAGGCTGGGGATATCTAGGAAGGGCAGGAATCATGGCCTTCCCTAGTAATTACAATCAACTCCAGTGAGAGGTGATGATTCAGTGGCGAGCCTGCCACCCACATGGTTTTGTGTTCGGACAGCAGGGTCAACAGCTGGCAGGGCTGTCGTTCTCGGTGTCTTGCAGCCAACGATCCTCCAAAACATGGTCAAATGAATATAGTATAGCAACCCGATTGTCTAAAAGCCTGGACTGTTCGTTGTTTGCATGCGAGCATGTGCTAGGACAAGATTGGCGCCAGCTGCATCCCGCACAACTCACGGCCAAAGATTGGGGAGGCCTGACATCTTTCACATATGGGATTTTCGTTGCTGTCCCCTAATAGCAGTGTGGCCCAAACGTGTCCTTCAAATATCTCCAATTCTCGTCACTACATTGCCACCGGTTCACTTGTATGAGCCATGGGTAGTTGCAGGGTCTCTAGATCTCTCACAGTGCGCTCACGATGCCCTGATCGTCGTAGAACTTGGCAAGGAAAGGCTGTCACAAGTGATCGCTTTTACCTTTTTGGGGCACTGTTTTGCATTCTGTCCTATACCCAAACGAAGAGATTCAGAAGCAACCGGGGAGGTTGAGGTGGTTGGTGTGTGGGGAAGGGGTTGCCAGAGAGCTTGTGCTAGATTGTTCTTCGTGTTTTGGTGAGAAATCCAACTAGGTCGAATCAAGCAGAGTGCCGCGCAGTCGCACTGGCGCATGGCCGTCGAATCCCTCCAGCTAATGAGGACAAAGGCGCTCACGTGGTTGGAGGGCCTTGGGGCGTGTGTGCGTTGACCGTAGCTCCCAAAATGAGACACATGGACCTTAATTGGATCACTTCCTGCATGTGTGTTGCTCAACACCAGTTGAACTGTCGCCGTCGCTTTTCCTCTCCCTGGCTTTTTGGCCGTCGGAGGCGTTGCGCCCAAACCAGATCACCCGCAACATTGTGGCGGCATCGCTTCGGAAGAGCTGGACGCGTTCATTCAGGTGTGGATTTGGGGTGGCGAATGAAACAAGGATTGTGTGCACTACTTTTCTCCATCAGTGCTCCACGCCATTTTGATGGAAGAGTCACACATATGGGGAATGAGACGCAAACCTTGAAACATCCATAGAAGAAGCTACGAACGGGGCTCCTGGCATCGCTACTAGGGGCAAGGACGCTACGAACGGGGCTCCTGGCCTTACTACTAGTAACAAGAAGATACGAACGGGGCTCCTGTGATTTCAGATGATTTCAGGATTCTGCGGTTCCCGGCCGATGTCGTTGGGTGCCGGGCCGAGAAGGGTGCTGAACCAGTGCTCAGCATGGTTGATCTCCAGCAACTGCGGGTCGAAGAAGCAGGTGAACATGGCATGTTTAGACACAAGTCCGTAATATGCCTGAAGATTTCGGAACCTTGGTTGTTTCCTTTCTCCTTCTCTGGTGCTTCTGAAGGCTCAACATTGCAGTGAAGTCTTGTGCAGAACGCGTGTGGGAGTGCGGCTTTAGCAGAGCGCTTAGCACACAGTCAGTGCGAGCTCACCTATGAGAGAAAAGGCGTGGGTTGCCTGTTGGTGAAGAAGCTTTTGCGAGGTCTTCTCTCCTTTGCACTTCAGCAGCTGCTGAGACCCAACATCGCCGCGGCCCAATTTCACGAGGGAGCAGGACTGCTCCAGGTGAGGCACTCCTCCCAATTGCCCCACTGCGTGGCGAGGTTTCATACAACAGCCTGCTCGGGATTGGTGCGACAGGCTGGCCACGCTCGTTGTCACTCTTGGTCCGGTGCCTGGCAGAGTCAGGGTTTGGCCGATGGTGTTGGCCCGAGCCAGACGCCTGGCGCCTGTCGTGTGCTGAGGTGTCGTGTGGTACAAGTGCAGACGTCACAAGCTACACGTCGATGATGTCCATGATCAGCCCATATCGATGGGACGAAGGCTCGGCAAAATTGTTCATTGGGGCTTTGTGTCAAGAGGCTGCTCGAAATATAAGAAAACACTTGACGCAGTTGAAAGCCTCGAAATGACTCATGTCGCGAGCATTATTCAACACCGAAGCTCCTTAGGTCTATTTGATGTATTTGCACTCACTAGGTTCATCAACAGACTTGTGACCACTAGAGCGGCATAGTTATAGTTTATCTGAACCTTTTGGAGAGAACCATAGTGTGTGTACACTTCAAGACCCAACATCTCCTGTTCTCCCAATTTTCGTGGCGAAGTGGTGGTGACTTGGCCCTCCAGGCATGTCACTCATGAATCGACTGAACAGCGCTGCACTTGGCCCACACAGGGAGAATCGGTCCCGGCTGCAGGGTTGTTACACAGAGAGGCACACCGAGTTAAACAGTGAATGAACCCCTCGAAGTGTCCACGTGGCATGTCTCACGCCGGAAGCCCTGCCGATCAATCAAGCTAGTTGGATCTTGTTCCAAGAGCTTAGAAAGCAAATTGTTCTGCTGATTTGAAATTGCGCTCCTCGACTTGGCTCCCTCATCGCTTGGGTGGTCATGTCCGCGTGGCCGAGGCCATGGCTTGCAGTGCGATGAGGTCTTGGCCTCGTCGCTGATGCGCTTGACGTCTTGGCGCAGGGGGTGCGGAGCCCCAGAACAGAGGTGATGAGGGGATGGAACAAGCGATGACGGGTGGTTCTGCGTCCCAAAGCTGTCAAGGGACAAGGGGCGTCTTCCAAGAACTGGCCGAGCCTACTTAGCTGCCTTCGAACTGCCAACATTTACTGGGTGCCAAAACATGCTAACCACAGCTACGTAGTGATAGGGCGGTGATGCGTCTCAGCAGAAGCACATGGTGGAAAGGGGACACCATAGAACATATCAGACAACACTTATGCATTCAACTTCTTTCCCACACGTTCCTGTCAGCAATCCCTGACCTGCATGTACCTCCTCTGAAAAGGAGTCCTCCTTGCACTCTAACATTGTCTTCGTTTTGGGAGGGGTGTTGGCTAGAGTTCCAGCTCCAGCTCTCATGAAATGAGACCAGATTAAAACCAAGGGCCCAGGCCATTTTACACGAAGAGTCATGTGCGTGGAATTCCTTTACGCTACCAACCTCCATGACTGCAGAATTGTTGCATATTACAGGTCTTTCCAGTTGTGCACTTGTAACTTGATGATGCCCTGCCACTGCCGTACCGACCTAACCCGTTGGAAAGAGTCACCACATGAATGTGGAAAGAAGAAGTTGCACTCTGACTAGACAATAGATTGGCCGCAGCGCTGCAAAAGTCCTTCCCCCCAAAGTGCAAGACAGGCCAACAACTTGGCCCCGTCCCAAACTCCATTACTTCTTCGGTCTCCGGTGTGTTTCAACCCTCCACAAATGGAACTTAGACCCCCTAAAACCTTGAGCCTGTGGCTTTCCTGGCCATGTCCTGTGGCAGGACACATCTTCTTTCATCATTCAGTTCGCTTCTGCTTCGAGCCGACGTGGTAGCGGTTGGTGCTTGTTCCAACAGCTGTGCTCAAAGCGGCCAATGGAATCAGGCGCGGCGCCGCCTTTGGATGGCGATAGGGCGAGTTCGAACGGCAGAGCCGGGGGCTTCGCTCCACCTTTGGTCGAACGGCTTGGTGCGAGGTTCAGAGGGTTGCGATGAACTGACCCACATCGTGATGTGGAATTGGTCGGGGGGCGCGAGGTTGCGCAGACTCCAGTATTGAGGACGTTCCATAGGATGGTGTGCGCAGACTCCAGGACTCTCCACTGTTATTGTTTTGTGTTTATCGGTCCGATGCACATGGTAATTTGAAGCCATTTCTGCCAGTAGAGACTTGGCCTTGTCAGGCAATGAACTTCGCAAGCCAGCTGTCTCAGATGGTACTGATCCAAGTTGGCCAGGTCTAGTTAGCGCAAGTTTTGTAGTTTTGTAAGGGATGGATGGATCATAGAGTGATACAGACGAAGGGGTGCAATGACTGCAAAGGGTGATTGCTACGCCTTGGCAGAGGCTTTTGACACTGACTGTTTGGCAAAGCAAGGATCTGAAATGCAGCCTGGCAATGATCAACTCCCTGCTGGGTGCCCGAAATGTGCGTGGGATACTCAAGTCTGCAAGCATAGATGTTCTTCTGGATAGTTGCTGGTGTGCTCCCGGCTTGCATTACGGGTCTTTTTCTTAGCGGGAACTTTTGTAGGGTTGCAGGTGAGCATGCCAGAGTTTGCATGGAGATTCCGGCGCAAATCAGTTGCCGGTAGGTGTTTGCGAAGACTTCCAAGCCACAATTGCAACTACGACTATGCCTTTCATTTCTGTGGTCCTCCCGAGGTATTCGGTCGGTTCTGTAATCGAACTATACAGTAACCAGTCACCCTGGCTCGATGCTTTTCTCTTTTGGATGACCAGCGACTAGCATTACGCAAAGCGATTACTGCAAGCATTTTCCCCCTGCCGATGACAATGACACGGAGGTTGGGAAGTTGCTGCTGACCTCTTCCGGTGCTTCCAGCCTGTGCCGCAGAGAGCACATGTGCACTACGGTGAAAAGAGTTGAGAATCTAAGGCCAGACTTGATCACTGTGAATGGAGCAGCCGCTGCTTGTGACAAGGTGCTGACATGGGGTACGGATACTGGACACACTGAATATCCACCCCGGTGATGGGTCCCTCAGGTCTTTAGTATTTTAGTATTTTAGTTTCTCTTTCCAAGTGCGCATGTGAGTTGCTTTGGAGTTGGAAAAAGGGATGGACTCAACTTCTTTAGGCGCATGAGTGGCAGCGAGCTGTGATGCTGGTTCAACAAGCCCGTCAATTTCAGCTGCAGTCGGCGAAGCACTGAGATTGGCAGTCGTGCAGGCGTGCTTCTTCACCCATTCACATTCAAAAGGGATGATTTTGGATCCATCCTGTTCAACATGTTCGGCAACATGTTCGGCTCCTTTAATGTCCTTGCACATTTTAGCCTACCTTTGAAGACCAGTAGTGGTGGTGGAATGAGAGGTCTTGGGAGCCCACTACCAGGCTTTCTTTGCCCACTCTGTCATACTCCCCTAGAGACTTGTAGACAATGACAGTAGCGAAGCGAAGTAAAGGGTCTTGCTGAGGATTCAATTTTACACAGCATAGCCACAGATGCATGTCAGATTCTCAGAGTGTGTAGTCTCAGCCGTTGGTGAATTTGGCCCCCAGAATTCCACCTCTGGAAAGGCCAGCGAACCCTGAAGTGGGAGGCAGCCCTGGCAGGCTTCCAAGCATGCCAAGGCCATCAGCTTCGCTAGGGTTCAACAATGAAACGTGATCACTGCTTTGTGAGTTTCACTTTCATGGGTGAATCCTGCCTTCATGAATTCCGAGCATGCCCACTGCCCATTGTGGAGGCCTTCCCTGTGTGGCAAGTGACATTACGAGCATGAGGCATTTTGCACTGCCTGGTGTTTTGGCTCAGCGAAAAGCTATCCCGCTTCGTGCCAAGCTCTAAACTGGGCAACCATGAGGCTGCACGCAGTTGGAGTAGATGACATTTTTGAAGGTCCACAATGATTGTGGTGTCCATTTACTAAGTGCCAACCCGATAATCCATTTGTCAGTTTTTGTTTGACGAGTGCCCTTCATGCCCTCCTCCTGAACGATCACCCCCTCCACCCATCACGAAGGTACAATTTTCCAACACGTGCAATGGTTTGGTGTGAGGGGTACTGCACTATTTCTATTACAGTGGTGTTGTGTTGTGTCCATGTGAGAATGGTTGGCTAGACAGAAAGCGGACGGATCATGAGCTCGTCTGGAGTGCCGCAGTTGCGAGTGCTGCGGCCGCTGGCAGGCAGTGCACGTGTGAAAGTTGAGCCACTGATGAGTCACAGCCAGTTGGTTTGGTGGCTGGACAGGCTTCGGCCGCCGAATCATTTGGCGTTGGAAGCCATCGGCCCCGCGGCGATCTTCCGAGCGCTGAAAGCGTTGGCGAGCTCTGGACCACTTCGAGAACCTGCGCGGTTTGTTCCAGTGAACTTTGAGGTGAGCTCGCAGAGCTTTTCGCAGAGCTCCTCGCAGATCTCCCAGAACTCAGATGTGGGAGATTCAGATCAAGAAGGGCGAGGTCGAAGGAAGCGTGGCATCCGCTTTCTGGTTGCACCTGCTTCATCTACGGTCGATCCTTGGAAGACTTGGAGTACATTTCCGGCGCTGAGATTAGCTGCCAAAATGGACGTGGCCCGCTTTGCGCGAGCTTTGCTCTTTGAGCGGAAAATGAGAAGCAGGCAAGGTTCCACAAAACCATGCTGAAACTTGAAACGCTACCTTAAAATGATTGTGGTCAACAACTGGACCCCCCCCAAGCATTTCACCTCCAAAACATAAACATAGCGGTCTATGTGCGGTGTTCTGGAATCTCATGGCCGAACATGGAATGAGGCATGTGCCAGTCTTGCTGGAAGCCACTTTCTCCAAAAGGCATGCCTATGTGCTGTGCAAGGCCCTTGCCAAAGCTCAGCATCTCACAATGATGCTTTCCAACCAGCCCAGCGCCATCAGTTGTATAGCGCGTGTGACCAAAAGGGATGGTCCTGACACTGTGACCGATGAGGCAGGCAATACGCCTATGATCATCCGTGTCATGGTCTTCCAGCCTTTCTCCATCAGTGGAGAAGCAGCTGAGAGGGAAGAGCATGGGCAGATGGTGCGAAAAAAGCATTGGGAGAGACCTGCGTTCGAGGGCAAGAGATGCTCAGCCATTGCCTTGGCCCAAGCGAGGCGTTCAGCCATGCATTGTCCTTTTCAACACAGTGGCGACCCCTGTCTGGTGTGGTTGTGACGAGGTGTTTTGATTCATGGTGTTTCAGTGGCCTGTCAAATTCATCCTTTCGTCGCAGTCGTGCAACGCGGTCGCAGTGATTTCAGATTTCGACTGAGGCCATTGCTGCCGGGACATGGCAACTGGCAACACATTTCTTCGCTGGGCTCCCGCAATGCCAGATGAGCCCAAGCATTGTCTGTGCCCTCAGGGTGTGGGAATATTGTGGTCCACCACCACCACCACCGCCGCCGCCGCCGCCACCACATTTTGGTGACTCTTGTGCTGAAGGTGACTTGTTCTGCCACACTGGAACGCCTGGCCGCCGGAGGCAAGGCCAGCATTCTGATAGGGCCTGATAGGGACTTCAGCGCGGGGTGGTACTTCGGAACAAACATGAAGTGGTCACGTCCTGATGTTTGGCATGCAGACCGGGCTTGTTGCCTGGTTTCTTTGCATCTGGCAGCGCCTGAACGGGCTGTCTGAGTTGAGAGGTCAATGGGAGGCAGCCTGGAAGCTCCTGAGCACTTCAGGTATGGATCAGCCCTCACCCTCCCAGGCGCGCATGCATGCAAAGGATGCAAGGGTCACACTTTTCGAGCAAGATGGCAATGTTTGCATCGCATTCGCATTTGGGAAGCCATTCAGCTGGGTTGATGGGAGTCATCAGCCACTCGATGCCAGGTTTGGTGTTCAGCTCGCGACTTAGCCATGGCTCGCTGCTATGGGTCGACAGAGATTGAACTTGTTGTTGGCAATGATGTTTGTTTCCCTCTTCCTGTGTCCTAGCAGAAGTTTTTCAGATGTTCTGCTGTTGTTGGCATGACTAGCCACGGGTTGTCGATTTTGCCTTGGCCAAGGCCTTTCAGGGCTCTGGCGCTCCCTGGGAGGTGTCGCTGCGAGGGGTTGATGCGCTGCGAGCTGCGAGCCCACCACGTGCTGAGGCCGTGCTTCGGATCTATAAGACGATGCAAACGCTGGCCGGCCAACCAGATGCCTGGGTCTTGGTTGAATGGAGTAGCACGACTAGCATGGATTCATGTTGAATGGTGGGTCGTTGTGCTTGAGACCTGGTGATAGAAGAGTTTCCAAATTCTGCAGCAGACAACCTCCCACAACATTAGGATACATTAGGTCAATAGCTGGTGCCTTCCCATAAGCTACCAAGCACGACCAAGAGCCGCCATCACCACAGATCACCCACCACCACTGCAGAATCATTACACATCACATGACTGTGGATTGCAAAAAATTGCCTTTTGTGCACTGTCAGATCGCACACGATTACCCTTGGAACCGGCACAACCCTTCGGTAGTGGACCGGCAAGATCACCAACTCATGGTTGTGGATTCATCCTCTAAGGCAACGATGCTGGCAGCAGTGGCCGTGCTTTGGCCAAATGCTCCCCGATGGAGGGTTGAACCTCAGAGAAGAGGGCCCATTGAGAACCAACACAGAGGGGGGAGGCAGAAGTTAAAGGTATGAGTGGGATAAGGGCAAGCTTGCGAGAGTGAACAGAGACGTCAATGAACACCTCACAGATTTGCTGTAGGGTTTCCTGAAGCGGTGGAATGCGTTTGGATTTTGAGCCCCTAGAATCTCTATTTTGCTACCGCTTGTTCGAGGACACTTGTGAAGAAAGTCAACGAGGACTGGATCAAGCTGACTTGACATGTTATTCGTGCTTAGCCCCACAATTGATCACAACCCCCTCACAATATCTCAACCTGTTGTATCGAGCATGCTGTGGTGATAGGCAGGCCTACGAATCTGGTGGCTTTGTGTGGCAATGTCGCACAAGAAGCGCTGCTTTTGGCCTCAGTTCATTGATTCCAACGACGTGGGGTGCCACGGGTCCGTTGCAACCCACGTCTCGGACGCGCAATCAACCGACGTCCAGCGATTCAGGTCGACGCTCCAGCAAGACCTGCGGCCCGGAGGAGCGAAGCTGCCACCCGGTGGAGAGCCGTGACGCGAGTGGAGAGAGTGGAGTGGAATTGGGGAAAGTGAGTCTGGGCATTCAGTGAAAAGATGTGAAACACATGGGATCATGGGAATATCAACATGCATCAGATCGGAGGTACTATATAACATACATATAGGTCTACACACACAGATAGTCATATATGTATATAAATATAAATATAACATACACGTACATAATAACACACTCTAGTTCGCTGTCTCAGGCTGAGCACTGTCCACAAGATGGGCTCCAGGAGCAGCTACAACTCTTCGAGATCAGAGGCGTGCGCTCGGGTGTGCACGGTGAATTTGGGTCTTTGTGTTGTAGCAAGCCTGTGATCTTAATGTGGAGGTTTTGGAGGAAGGCTTGGCAGGAAAATGGTGTTTTCCCTTTCGACCGTGCAGGGATGAGTGCACCTTCTGTGATGCCTTGCTAGGCAGGTCAGGGTTTGACTCAGAGGGCTATTTAGTATGTATTTCAAAGTGAAATAAATGGGCAGCCTACTGGCTGACCAACTCAGCAACTCTCCGGATGTCAAATTTCCGACCGCTGACGACCGGTGTCCTTTCCGGTAGCAGCTGATCCGGTTCATGTTCAATCTTTTTGGGCCGCCGGAACCGGCCATCTGTGATCTGATAGCTGCCAGACAGCAGCTAGGAAGGCAAAGGAGGGCCAATACGGAGACGAGATGGGCCAGGACTCGGCTGAGATTCGTGGGGGTTTTGGAGGAAGAAAGCACATGTGCATGTTTTGCGGACCACCCTGCACAGTGGTGTGACTAGTTTCTGGCCGTGCACAATATTTGGCGGCCATAGCTCAAGGCAAGAAAGACAGGAATCCTATATAAAACAATCCGATCGGATCCCAAAAAGGCATGGACACGCTGACGCACGCACATGCACACGTACCCTTGTGTGATCATTAGAGTTTCTCGATGTTGTTCCGGAAGCCGAACTATGCGGAACCGATATTTCCAGGCTTTTTGTGATGTTGATGTGATTGCATTGCATTTGAATTTGTGGCTTGAAGTACTCAGAACAGGTCTATGCAAAGCCAAGCCGGCTGATTGAACCTTTTTTGCTCAGTTGTGATGCAGTCAAAGCGCCGTGCATGGATAGCCATCCTTAGCCAGCCATAGCCCTTAACACGATCAGAACACCAGCTGACAGAGCATTGCATGTGTATGGGCATCACAGCCAAGAACAGTTTCAGCCAGTCTCAACCTCGCAGAAGACCAGAAAGCTGAGGCATCCCGGCAGCCGCAAGGCATCGCTGGCAGATTTCATCGCTGGAATCCTCACACTCAAAATGGTTGGCACATGCCCGGGCGGCCTGTAGCCGAGAGCAATGGCCTTTGGTGCCTTCAAGGGCTTTGGCAAAGGCGTTGACGGAGGGTATCAGGGCTTCTTGGGCTGGTAGATGTTTTCACCTTGTTTCTCCATCAGTGTAAATGACAGGATTTGCACGTGTCAACATCGGCATTTTCCAGGGCAAGCTAATCGACATCATGTTTAGAATCATTTTTGTTCACATGTCAGCCTGTCAGCACACCGTATAGTATCATGCACACATTCAAGCCACTTGCCAAGAAGGTGGGATCCTATCAATAACCATGTATCTCATCCGGCTCATTTGATAGAGTTTCATTTGATGTCTAAGGTCCCACTGCCCGAATCACACTTAGTCACTGGGCACCTCGCCTGACACATGCATACTGGCAGAATGTAGAAGACACATGTGTTTGCATGTTTACAGAACGCTCCATCATCCCTTGTACCCATTTTAACTTGTGTCCTCATGTACTGTATGCATAAAGTATCGGGGTCAAATGGCTCGGACATGAATCTGTGACGTGACTTTATGATAAGAGAGCATTTCTGGGCAAAAGACCATTCGCTCGTAAAGTTTTGAGATCATTGCCTCATGGCGACTGCAAAAACATGTCATGATGATTTTAAGAAGGCCTTTTTGAAGGGGGTACCTTATTCAAGGGGTCCAAGGGCCTTCTTGTTTTGCTCAACATTCAGCCGGGTTGTCATGCCTCAGGCCCGCCAGGCGGCTTTGGTGGCTTTGGTGGCAAAGGTGGGGGTCCAGGTGGTCCAGGTGGTCCAGGTGGTCCAGGTGGTGGCTACTGCGAAGAGGTGGCGTCCTCGGCGACATCCAGAGTTGGATGCGGCTCGTGGCGTGCTGTTTGTGGCGGTTCATGGTGCTTGGATGGCTCTGAGGACCGAAGCAGGGACTGGCAGTGCCCAAATGGATCTTGTAAGGGGCTGAGTGTTGACACGTGGAACAAGCAGAAGTGCGTGTGCCTGCGTTTTCCGTCGACCTGAGGTAGAGAAAGAAATTTTGTCAAAAGACCCATTTGTTTCAAGTGCGGTACGCCGAGGCAGGCTTGATAGCTGGTTTGGGGTTCAGTTCAGACACTCCACACAGGTTGCAGAATTCCAAGTTTCAAGGACAATTGATAACCTCAAGCTCAGCTTTCTTGGTTTTTATTCTTTTGGCTTCTCACCGAAGCACCTGCGGCATCACCCATGTCTCTGCAGACCAGCAGCCGATGCCCAGCGAGCTTCGCAGCCGCCACCGAAGGGGGGCACCACGCTGCATGGAATGGTGGCTTGGTCCAGAGCGAAGACCAGATTAGCTAGGCTCAGAGAATCTGTGGGAGTGGAATATTATAAACCTTTGGCATGTTGGCGCTGCCAAGCTGAGGTCAAGAGCTACAACAAGAAAGGGCAGGGGGCTTGACTCGATTTGCCCCTCCACCGCTAAGCACAATGTGAAACGGAGAGATTAGGAGAGATGTCTCAGGTTCGGTTTTATCATGTGCACCGGCAACTCCGACATCCAGGCCCTTGCCCACATCGCACGGGATGAAATCTGCACGAATGACACATTAGTGGAAGCTACCTCGTCAAAGCTACTACTGGAGGATTTGGTTCAGCAACAGTAGTGCATTCGACTGCTAGTGTTGCTTCAAATTGATGATAAGTTTTTGCTCAAGGACCTGTACTTCACAAGAGAGAACGTCAGTTCTCGCTTACTGTATCCTGGTTGCAAGGAGAACTTGGTTTTGAGGGATCAGACATGTGCAGACTCATCTGGAATGCCACAGACCCATTGGTGGCAAACAACATGTCCTATCATATCGCCAATCACTCCAGTTCATCCAGGCAAAATGTCTAGGTCAACCGGTGACTTGCGTCGGCTGCATGACGACAAGTCCGAATTGGTATCATGACTTACTTCCTGATCTTCTTGGAGCGCAGGCACCCTGATATGCCCGGAGAGCGGGTCACCTTTGAAATTGGCTACGAAGGCCGCCGCATGGTGGCAAGGACCGCTGCAGGGGTAGTCCAACATGGACCTTGCCTACGGTGTGCGGCTTCATTTCTGCAGTTTGGCAGAAGATATACTGCTTTCTCAATCCCGCTGAGCTCGAAGGAATGTTCGGCCATTCGGTGAAGACAAGCATACTCAAGCAGCGCTTGCCTCGTGAGAAATTGGAAAACGCATGTTTCAGAGCCACTTCTCAGCATCATTCCCAACAACAACTCATCAACAGAGGGGTGTTTAGAGTTTAGAGCTTTTGCGAATTAAAACGGAGCACAGCGGTTGCATTTAGCCTATTTTTTGTTGCTGCCCGTTTGATGGGGGAAGACGGTTGAGGCCATGGTGGCGAATAGTAACAAGGCCCGATATGAGCGAGGCTACGATGAAGAGGACTGGAGGAGGTATCCAACCGGATGTCCAACTGAATGATGGGCAGAATGATTCTTTTGGCTCCATCCGCATGTGTAGCTACTAGGACGGTACTAGGGGCTCCTGGCCGTACTGCTAGGAGCAAGAAACTACTAGTATAAAACAAAGGGCATGTTTCTGAGTTACTTTGGGGGAGGCAGAGTCGCTCAAACATCGGGCACTCCGACGGGCAATGATCGCGGTGCTCACTGAGCACGGTTTCTTTGTATGCGGTTCTTTTTAGTGTACCCCTCACCTTAGGAAGGTTTGGACAGATGGATGTCCACTTTTTTGTGTTTCTACTTGTGCAGCTTTGTTGTGAAACAAGGAGCCATGAGACCGAATCAGAAACGAAATGACATAGATTCTGAAATTTCCTGAAAGGACACTAGCAGGGATTGGCTGGCAGCCAAGTGAGTGAGCTGTGCTTGTCTCCCGAAAACTGCTCCATGGGCAAACAAGTCAAAGCTCCATCAACCCCACCCACTAATTGCTGCGTTCCTTCAAGACTTCTGATGCCGGAAGGCACATCAACGGTCTCTCCGATATTTTCTGAGGAACTGCCCCTCCTGCAATGAGCGGAACTTCTTGAAGAGAAATGTTTGCTTCAAGTGTTCCACGCCGAAGCCCATTGTTGCAGGCCACAAGAGTTGCAGTCTTTTAACCTTGCTTGTAAGCTTTTCCTTGGTTTCTCTGTGCAGTGGAACGATTTCAAGAGAGAACGCAGAGCAGTTGGTTCCTCGCAAGACCACTTGCATTGCCTATTGCCAATACTAGTGCTGTATATTCTTGGAGGGTTTAGACTGAGACTCATGCGCACATGTAATGGATTGAATTGGGTGGGCAGATCCGCCTGGTGCCCCGTCCATACCGCGTCGTACGCGGGGGCCCTGAGTGAGAGTGCACATGGAAGAGGCCAAGCGTCCTAACCATTGGACATAGACTTAGACGGTCCGTATCGAGCTCAATGGTCGAGCCGGACATATTCTGGGGTTGAAGCCAGGAGTGAGGTTTCAGACTCAAACTGGCAGCAACACGATGCACTCTGAACCACCCATTATTCATGCTTAATGCTTAGATGCAGATGTATTTGAACACCCTACTGGGGTAGATTGACTATAAGAGGGACATATCAACCATTGGTGCTTTCTTTCCAGTGAGCGATAATAAGCGGCTTCGCGATGCATATGTGTGGGGCATTACGCAGACTAGACCGTTTAGAACCTTTGGACGGGTGATTTTCAAGCAACCAATGTAGTGGCATATGGCAAGGAACCTCAACGCACAGAGAAGACATGTCAAAGAGCCAATTCACTTTCCGTGCCTTTTTGCTCCACAAATGCAAGGCTTTCTCCTCATGCTGGCGCTCGTGCCATCAGGGAGGCGTTGCTCGCAACAAGTTGCAATGAATTGCATGTTTTAGTAGCGTGCAACTGCCTGGTGCATTTTTGGAAGCATGGACCCTAGGTTTTGTTCAACCAACGCAAACGATGCCACTTGTGGTTCTATACTTTGAGCAGGCCTTGGCTGCTGCAAAGGCGGCACCGAAAGACGGAGAGGAAGAGAAGGAAGCTGCAAGCGAAGAAAGCAGCAGCCCGTGCTATACTCAGGGGATAGGGGGCAATTTTTGGCTACTCAGTGAGGAGGACTCCTGATGGTTCTTGGCGGCGATTGCCCACATAGCAACACACACACCAGCATCTATCTATACATATATATATATATATTTATTTTTTTCCCCTCAACCTGTCTATACACAAAAAAGCTACCACTGAGGAAGCAGGAAGCGTCTTCGTGCTGTTCTTGTTTCCTCAGATCCTTTATGTTAATATAGACCAGGACAATGTCGCTTCTAGGGTTAGCAACATGATCTGCATGGGCTCACCGGTCATTTCCAGGCCTCCCATGGTTTTGACCAATAGTAGAGTGCCTGGAGCCACCACAGGTCTGAAAAGCCCAAAAAAGAAAAAAAGAAGCGGAAGAAGAGGTGGACAACTTGACACTGCTCCGTGCAGAAGACTCAATAAAAGGATATGAGAAGATTGCTTAGAGCTGTTCAACTTTGAGACAGGCGAAGAAAGAGCAGTTCTGGAAGCTCTTCCAGTCGTGCGCACAAAAAGAAGAAGGCACTTGGTGTCGGTGGCGGTTAGAAGGATACTCTGCACTATTCTGACGCTTGAGGCGAAAAAACACAAAAGCAAGCCGGGCACTTGGTCAATCATGGCTACGGACACAGAGTTGCAAGCGTTGCCCGTTTGTTTGCCTTCAGCTCTGAATGGTAGTGACCTAAGGGGTGGGTCTTCATCAAGTGGAGGCTCCGTCAAATCTAGTAGGCCGGGCGCGACTGAGAACTTTGGTGTTGAACAGATGCTAAGCCAAGCACAGTGATGATATGGTGCCAAGCCAGCTGGTTCACTTGTAGTCTCACCTAAGTGGCTTCGTTAGTGAGAGCCACTAAGCTATTTTGTACTTGTACTTTGTTTGTTGAGTTGTGTGGTAGAAGGGATGGTGGGGGTCCCCTTAGTTAGCAGATGTTCCCGTCATCATCAGCTAGCTTTGCAGGAGCAAATCAAGTAGCAGTGCTTGTGTCATGGAAGAGCCAGTCAAAGAGGCCGCGGTGTCCGCAGCCCAGAAGAGTAGTGTGCTGCGCACAAATGGATAAATAAGTACATTTAAAAAAAAAATATATATACACACATATATATATATGGATCTCTATGAATCTCAGTGGCAGTGACACAGTGACGGGTAACACCCGCGCCGCACTGCCCTCCTACCAAGGCCAGTCAGCAGCAATCCAGACATCGACAAGGACGCAGGGTTCACCTGATCACCCTAAGCCCAAAGTCCCCCAAGGTCTGACCATAAGAACCTTGGGATTATCATAGGTTCTTATATTGTCATCAACCGTTCTTGGTCCCAAGGTGGTTTCCCCTGCCTTCCTTAAGAATCACTTGACCGATTGTCACTTCAGAGAAAGTTGTTCAGTTGGAAGGCCAAGCAGGAGGCTCTGGAAAAGTTGCTGAAACTCAAGTGCCTTGGCTGCACAGTCTTGTGGCTGGAGTCACATTCCTTTGATGAGGGATGATGTGACACCTTGTAATACCATGGCTTCGTTTGATCCTTGCTGACCGGGGCCGTGATCTGATCATGTCGGCCGAGGACCGTGGAGCCGAAAGAAGCGAGGATGAAGGAGTGGAGGGAGCTTTTGCGGCAATGGCATCCAGACAAGAATCCGCAGAGGATTGAGGCGAGACATGTCAGAGACCTGTTGAATTGGTGGCTCTAATTGCTTTAGTTGGACGAGTTCTCGAAGGAAAAGCCCGGCAGATGGCCACACCTGGATAACAAGGAATAGAATCGAACTAAAGGGAGGGAAGCCTTCTACTTGAAGATGGCTGTAAGCTGAGCTAGCCGAGGGGTTGACCTGCCGCCTTTCACTTGCTTCCAAAAAATCTATCCTCTTCACTTGATGTTCCTTGTCGTGCCCTGATGTTCTTTGCGTCGTGCTCCCTCAGGTGGCGACAGCCGTTTTCCAGTTCTTGCAGAAGGGCAAGCCAATGCTGGATGGAGCTTGAGTTGCATGAGTAGCTCGAGCCGATAAGGGTGTCACATAGATCTTTAATCCGTTGTGTCCCTCTGAAAGTGAAATCATTCTCTACTAGAAGGCAATCCTCATCACGATCACACTTGTGGGATAATTTGATATTCGAATATGAGAAAGGTTGTTCTTCGTTTTCTTCGACAAAGCGCCACAGTGGCAAATGGAAGGCCAGTCCAACATAGAGCATTTACTGTATATAGATTTAGGTCCAGTTGTCTTACCACAGGGCATACACTGGCACAGTATTGGACACCTCACGGCGTGTCACCTGATCTGACGGCATCGATTTGCTGCCACGAAAAGGGGCCAAAGACAGTGGTGCCATGGAAGTGCCATGGAAGATTTGCTCAAAATTTGACAACAAAACTGTCTTATTAACTCTGTTGATTGCACATTTCTCTCACTTTGCCCGTGGGTTTACCAGTTTGCCCTTTGAGGTTGTGTGAGGGTATGCAAGATGTTTCCAATTCCTGACTTCCTGGGGAGCGCCGGTACCAAACAGGACAGTCCAGCGCCGCTCATGACACGCATCGGCTTGGGCGGCTGCCGAGATCTCCAGGCATGACGAGCTGCTTGAGGGTGGGAAGACTGGTGAAGTATGAAATCGATTTTTTTCACTGCAAATGAATGCAACTGATGACATGCAACCTCCGCATAGGTTTTGGAGTAGACTAAACGACGTGTTGTGGACCAGCTCGGATGGAAAACAGCTCAGCATCACTGTGGGACTTCGGAAAACAGCTCAGCATCACTGGATGAGTTGTGTTTGCAAATGCTGCCCCTGTGACGACTTGATTCTTGGTGACCCGTGGTGATCTGATGACGCACTGCGCTTTCAGTGGCGCACTCCGGTGGTTTTGCACTGGTGATGATGATTTGCTTGGAATAGCTTGCAGCGAGCCTGCATCCTGTGTTGTGTGCATTGTGCACAGGCCAGCCTGCCCCACATTGTTCATACTTGCCGTGAAAGCTAGTGTTGTACATACCGTGCTTCATGGTGGCCCTTCCTCTGGTGTGAAACGGCAGATAAAGCATGATTTTTGCAACAACAGCACTTTGGACATGAACGTTAGCCACGCGCGCAGACTTGCGAGTTAGTGAGTGAGTCAGTCAGTTTGCCTGAGTGAGTGAGTGAGTGAGTGAGTGAGTAGATTGGAAGTGGCTTTGCATGATTCAGCTGAATGAGCATTTCCTACAGGCATGATCTTGGCCAGAGGCTCAAGTTGGGCTCAAGGATCACTATCTTTGATTGATAGGTCTGACTCTGAGAGTCTCATGATGCAAGGCAGTCTGAGCAGACAGCAAGGATTTGCTGAGATGCCTCGCTTGCTTGGCCACTTCATGAACGCAAAGGACTCAAAGGATCCCGATGATGAGAGTGATGCTTTCGCCAAGCTGCGAACATATGTTGTGCAAAATGCAAAGTCCGAGAACAGCTGCTTGGATGATGGCGTTGATGAACAGACCATGGATAACTTTCTTCACAAGCTCAACGACTTTGGAGGAAGGAAACCAGTTCATCTAAATCAGATCGATGAGGTTCTCAATGGGCTTCAAAGTGGTTCACACGGTGGATGGACTTCACAAATCAACAAAGTTCGAGGCAAGTTGGACAAGCTTACATCGCGGACACCATCTTCTTGCCCAAGCCCAAGCGAAGCCGTGGCTTCTGGCTCGCAACGCTTCTCGCCAGGTGCTGTGGCGCTCGTGGACTTGACCACAGAGGGTGCCCTACATGGTAAGTGTGTGAAGCTCCTCTCTGTTGATGCGAAGAGAGGTTGGGAGGTAGAGGACCTTTTCGACGGCAGCAAGC